ATCGGGCCCGATACCGATACCAGTATCGGTATCGGTGCATCCCTAATATATATATATATTGGCCATTAAGAAAAAGAGAGAAAAAAAATCTAGCCTTGCTGGCTGACATTATTTCTATAATTTGTGAATAACATATAATATGGTATATAATATGCATAAAATTATTTTACACTATTGTTGCAAATATACAGTTTTAAGCACGCTATTACATTATTTATGATATAAAAACATTATTTTGTGTTGATTTTAATTTATAATTAGCAACCATAATTATATATACCAATATTATATATTTCAATTAATTTATAGCATGAAAAATTAATTTTACGAAGTAATATTTATATTGCCCTTTAAAAAAAGTATATAATTTATATAGGCTATATAATCTGTTTCACAAAGCACAAAAGGCTATAATGCTAATTTGACACAGGCTGAGATTATTTATATAATTTGTGTGTAATATGAAATGTATTATGTGTAATAGTCATTATTTTTGCAAATGTGCGGTTTTAAACTTAGAGCTGTGAACAATACACAGTGCAGAAAACAGGAATGCAGTGAAATGATGTGTTATTATGGTTATAATTATTGTTAGTTATTATTATGTGATATATATATATAAAGCAGTATTTATGTATTATGTATTATGTATTTTATATTATATTAATTTGACACAGTATAATATGCAGCTAAATATAAATAAATGTAACAGTTTTAAAGATGTTAGAGCTGTGAAGAATACACAATGCAGTTTAGCAAGCAGGAATGCAGTGATATGATGAGCACAGCTGGGGAATGTACAGATCTGACTGAAGCTGTTGGCTGATGCCTTGTAATTTAGTGGGAGAGCTCAAGTGTACAAGAGGTAATACTCTCATATCTCCATACACACGCCAACACCAGGAGACCACCGCTGCCTGGCCCGATGAAGCTTCTTATGAGTTATGAAGTTTATAGACAACATGAAACATACATAATAATGTGATACAATGGGATCTCCAAGTAAAACTGAATATGTACCAGGAAATGATGTAGATTTGACTGAATTGTAATTGTTTTATTGGTTTGGTGGTTAAATGTGGGAGGTTTCAAACTGATGACAGTTCAGAATACAGTCAAAAGATAAATATTGTGAAATATTATTACAATAGATTTGGGGATCTTACTTGTTCCTTTCACAGCATTCCTGTGAAATCATCTGGATTCTCCTGTTTTTCATAATTATTATTAGACTACATGACTGTATCTGTCTTCCTGTCTTATCTGGGCTGATGTAATTGATGATAATTAGATTAATTTTAATAGCGCAATTCGAAGAATAGAGCAGAAATTGTGTTTAGGGTTCAAGTTATGCGTAGGCAGACAATGACCTTCATATCCATCATAACTTCATCACACAGTGATTTCATCTTGGTCAGTGTGAGTGCCTGATAAATGAACAAATCATTTTTGTAAATTGATGATTTATTATTTAATTGCTGTTTATCATAAAACTCGTAGAATTGAGAGCTCTTGAGTTATCGGTTGAAATTGATTTGGTTAAACCAGTTGGGCGGGTTAATTTCTACATAAAGATTACTCATTGTTCACATTGTTTGTTTATAAGACGGAATATCTTTATCAATACACGCAACGGAGTTTTGTTTAAATAAATAATATTTGAATTCAAATGCAGTAAAATATAAATAGCTTCTCATTGTAAGAATGCAATGCAAAACAAATGGTTTTCTAACAAATACATAAATGAATATTTAAAATATTTTTAAAGTTACATTGAACACAACATATAAATACGTAAGTAAGTAAATAAATAAATAACATGATATCTACAAGGTTTCCTCTATAAACCTAAATCTATTTTTCAGAAGAAGAATCAGATCTGGCAACGTTAGGGCTCTTGCTTTACCAGGAGAGATTGAACATGTGGAAGCTGAGATCCAGGTGCATAGATAGACGAGGGGAAATCCATGATAGCATCAGCAACGAAAATCTGTCCTGATGTCTGACAAGTTCTCTTATTGAGTTAAGAGAGTCTGCTGAGTTCTGTATCCTGTGTCCTGTGCACTAATGCATGAATGAGAGGCACTGCTGATTCAATTGTGGAGCTGCAGGATGGGATTTGCCACAGGCGTGTAGCATAAACTCACCCCATGGTCAATCCCTCGCACGCTTTCTCTTGAATGCTGACTGTGGCCTGACATATGGCCCTGTACCTGTGTCCTTGCTATTGGTAATGAAGATTTGGCACATTGTGCATAAATAATTAATGTCAAATCAGTGTTTAATACTAAGTACCAGAGAGAAGGTGGGAAATGGTTGTGAAAAACTTGTATGATTAACATTATTGGACCC